CTGTACTTGAGTCCCGGGCGTTTCTAAGGAGCTTAATTTGAAATATTTTGGTCGTATATGAGTGTTGAACATTTTCTTAAAGTTTCAGCTTTCTATTCCTTCCCGAGTTAGCAATTTTTCCGCCAAAACTTTCACGTGTCCGTGCGTGTAACGCACACGTGCGTGACAGTTGCTATCACATTTCCGGGGTTGCGCTTGGCTAGGAAACACACTGGCAAAGTTTCAGCATTAAAACTTGCGTAAGAGACGAACACACACGCATACAGACAGGGTTGTCGCAATATGCGTTTTTGCTGCCTGTTTCAGCGCTCTAGCGCTGCACGCAAAAACACATGATAAGTTTCGGCTCTTTATTTCTAATGGCCGTACTCGGTACGCTCGTCCCCGAATGCCTGATGTAAAAGCATGCTCCAACTTCCATTCTCACAAGGACGCATATTTTTTCAGCTAAATGAGAAAAATTTTTTGCGTCTTCTAAACATCCTGTATATCTTTTGATCTGATTACGGCGTAGTCAGTTAACATCCACTAATTCGTACAGATCACGTTTGACACATTTGAAACGGAGCAGTATGAAGATTTTGTAACAATTCTCGATGGTGGGCCCGCAGAAAATTCGTCAGTTGTTATGGCTATCCTTTCCGGGTCAAAGAAACCGGAAACACTGATTTCGAGTACCAATGTAATGGTGGTGCGGTTTAGCAGTGATGCACAGATACAAGTTCGTGGATTCGAAGCAAGTTGGAGGGCCGGTAAGCCTCTCTCGGACAGTGTTTTATTTTTAGTTGCTGACCACCTCAATCTTTTCCAAAAGTAAGCAACTGCCCAACAATTTCCGCCATATAGCGCTAAATATTGTGCATAACATTATTTAAAGGTATTTACCGCAACTGATATTCTAACCAGTCCACCACCTAACCATCTTAGTGCATAAGTTCGATGAATCGAAGCATTGTTTTTATCTTTTACATTCTTCTTTTATGGATTTAACCCTGAAGGAAAGGTTTGGTCAGTTTTATCCCTGAACATTACAGTGAAACAGTCGTAACATGCCACAGCACAGTGAAAAAAATTATAAAATATGGAAATTAAAAAGACGGTAAATTCTAATAAACTAACTTGTATTTTAAACGGTACGCTTTTTTCAGTTAGTGTGTCTTGCGGTGGTGTTATGAAAGCTCAGCCTTATGGGCAAACGTTCACCAGTCCGGACTATCCCAAAAACTACCCAAATGGCGTGGAATGTGTTTGGAAAATCGATGCGCCTCCTGGACAACTCATTTCCCTTGATGTTCGTTCATAGTGGTTTTTTTTTTGTTTTAAATGAACTGTCTTGTCTACACATAAGATACACAATTTATCTCAGACTATCCTGAAATTTTTTTTTTTCTGAGTATCAAAATCAATAATATTTTCCATTCATTCATCTTTATTTCAGTGCTTTTTTTTTGTGGTTTTTTTCGTTTTTTTTTGTGGTTTTTTCCCGGATGCAAACGTTTAATTAAACCAGTAAAATAGCTTAGATAAA